CAGGAGGTGATGGTCTCTTCCCCGGCTGCAGGGTATCTGAACTTGTGCTCTGGCTTCTTCCAGAGCCCAGCCCTGTCTGCGTGCCTCTAACATTTCTAACTAACTCAGCTGCCTGTAACAGGCTGGTCAACCAAACCTGAAGTTCTTCACAAAGTCCAATGCTGTTTGAAAAAGCAAAAACTATGCCCAACCAGAGACTAGTTCAGTAAACTGGTTCTTAACTAGTTTAGATTGTTTTAACCTTGAATCCATAGAACTTACTTTCTATGCAGTGAAAAGTGCAGTCAGCTGGGTGTGGTGGCACGCGCCTGTGATCTCAGTTATTAGGAAGGCTGAAGCAGGAGGATCGCAAGTTGGAGGCCAGGCTGGGCAACTCAGGGAGAGCTTGTTTCAAAACCAAATATTAGGGCTGGGGATTTAACTCAGCGACATAAGTGCCTGCCTTGCAAATGTGCGGTCATGAGTCTGATCCCTGGTACTGATAAAAACTAAAAAGACAAAAAATTAAAAAAAAAATTTAGCAGATCTGGGGCTGCCTCTCAGTGATAACTTGCTTAGCATGGGTGAGGCCCCCGTTCAAACCCCAGTGTCACAAATTAAAACAAACAAACAAAAAAAAGATAAGGTTAGCTTGTCACACCTTTTCTTGATGTATCATTAGTAGGACCCAGTGCTGCAACCAACGTGTCCCCACTGTGTCATAGCTGATTGACAAGCACAGTGCTGTTCCTGGAGCAGGACCAGATGGCTGGATATGACGGGGTGTCTGGGACCCAAGGGCCATGGCTGGCGATGGCAGGAGCAGGGGAAAGAGGCTAGAGGCGGTGTCAGTGGGAGGTTTTTGTGGGCCTGGGCTGGAATTGCTTCCTGTCCTCAGCTCATCCCCCCCCCCCTCCCCCGCAGATGTGGCCACATGACCACCCAGCTACAAGGGAGCCTGGGAAATAGCGTACAGCTAGAAGCTGAGTCTCAGCCATGCGGGCTGCTGAGTAATTCATAGGCAACTCCCTGACTTCACGTCCCTGATTTTTGTCCTTAGAAATTCAATTGGATTCCCCCCCACACCTTTTTTTTCTTTTTTTAAAATCAATTTATTTCTTAGTATTTTTTAATTAAGGGAAAACTAAATTAAAAATAGCGGGATATATTACAGTAACTTTTTTGTTTTCCTATTAACCTGATTTGAACCCTTGTATTGTTCTCCACATCTTGTTCTGACTGATTTTATTATATTCTGTTTTGTTTAATAATATCAAATTTGAGGGTATAGCAACCACTTTGAAGGCAACCAGATACTCTATGATGCCCATTATGGTTTGACTATTATCTTCTTTGGAAGTCCTGCAAGGTCTCCAATGTGGGTTTTATTGGTCTTGTTCTGTACTGTTTTGTTCAATTCTTTTATACCAGCTGATATAGGGACCTCTTTGTAGGATAACAAGAGGCATAATGGTAACCATTGTTGATCACCTAGTAATCTCTTTTAGCATTATATACTATGTCCATCCTCCTGTTCTGACTCTGTTTTGCTTTGTCACACTGGGGTTTTTTTTTTTTTTTTGTTCTGTTTTGTTTTGTCTTGTTTCTTGTTTTATATATATATTTTTTCTTTTCCTCTTTAAATAAAAAGTTATAAGAACTGTGGGAGTAATGGAACCCAAAATGTGTGATTGTTATCGTAAAATAGGAAGGAAAGAAAGTGATCTAAAGGATATAACTGCAAGAGTATTTAAGAGTGTAGGATAGAAAACCATATTACTGAGTTTCTGTTGGATCATTGAACAAAACTGTCTGCAATCTCACTGTATTAATGTCCACTTTGTATGCTTTAATTTTGTAACCTGGACAACTGTTTCTGAGATGACAATATGTAATCTATTTACTAGTGAATTCTTACTGTATATTTTTTCTCTTGAAATTCTGTGTTACTTGTAGCCTTTTACTGTCTTGCTTTGTTTTTCGCTTTAAATAAAAAAAAAAAAGAAATTCAACTGGATTGCTGGGTGTAGTGGTGCCTACACGTAATCCCAGTACTTGGGAGGCTGAGGCAAGAGGATCCTTGTGAGTTTGAGACCAGCCTGGGCTACAAAGTGAGCTCAAGGCCAGCCTGAACTGCACAGCAAGACCCCATCTCAAAAAAGACAAAAAAAAAAAAAGATTCAGCTGGAGGCAGACTCCTCCAGGAAGGTCCCCGTGACTTCCCACTTCCGTGACAGGCTGCACGGAACTGATGACAGGGGTCTCCCAGCAAGCCTGGCCGCAATGCAGTCCACCACAGCCAGCCAGCCTGGGGTTTTCAGAAGGAAGCAGCAGGGGAGAGGTTGGCCCGCACTTCCCCGCTGTGCCAGTCTTGGCTCAGAGCCCTCTTCTCCCTCAGCCCTGCGTCCACCACCGCTCACCCTTGTGCTCCACCAACTGTCTGCCCAACGCGGAGGCTGCAGGGCAGGCAAAAAGAGAAGCGGGCGCTTCCTCTGCCTCGGCCCTGGGACTCCGGCTGGCTGAGCCGCTGGGCCTGCTCAGTTCGAGCTTCTCTGGGGACCTGAGCTTGGCCCTGGGCATATGACCCTGCCTTCATCCCTCCACTTAGGAGTGTGTTAGGATCCAGTGGGTGTTTTGCTGGCTCCTGTTTGATAGCCCCGCTCTCCCAACACCTGTCCCCAAGCCCCAAATGAGCATCTCTCCACACCCCTGACTGGTACAAGGGGCAGGAAGCAAGGAATAGGGTTCCATGATTCAGATACTCTGTCAGTTCAACCTTTGGGTGCCACCCACAAGCTCCCTCTCAGTCCTGTGCTGTGAGGCCCAGGGATGCCGTTGGTCAGGCAGACCCCTTCCCCAGGCAGGGCCCCCCCTTGCTGCCTCTACAGGGCCCGCACCTGCTCTGGCACAGTCTTCCTTCCCACAGGCCCCAGGGCATTCTTCAGGCCCCTGGGAAAGGCCCGTCAGGTGGTGGGGCTTCCCGGCCTGGCCTGTCCCTGGCACTGGGAATGTCTGGGCCCGGTCACAGCTAGGGCACTCCTTCTCCTGCTGGGGAGGTACAGCTCTGGGACACATCCTGGAGGGAAATGGGTGGGCAGAGGAGAGCCCAAGAAGGTTTACGCTTTATGTGTGCACGCATGTGTGTGTTTGTGTGTGTACATGCATGTGTGTGGTACTGGGGATTGAAGCCAGGGTTTTCATGTTGAGTTACATCCCCATGCCTTTTTTAATTTTTTATTTTACAACAGGGTCTCACTAAGTGGCTGAGTTTCCCAGGGTGAGTTGGAACTAGCAATCCTCCTGCCTCAGCCTCCTGAGTGCTGAGATTACAGATGGTGCCGCCATGCTTGGCTACATCACATCTTTTGACTCAGATGTACATGTGTCTGTGACACCCTTTGCTAAACCTCTGAGCTGTGAAGCTTCCCTCCCCTCCTGGATCCAGTCTTGACTCTGACCTCTCATGCACTGACAAGTGGCCCACCTGGCCTGGCTTGGTGCGGTGACACAGTGGAAACTGTCTGTGGGTGTCGAGCCCAGTCTACCTCATCTGCAGATAGGAAAGTACCGGCCCCACCCTGCCCAGAGCTCCAAGCCCACAGCTGTGAGGTGGGAAGACAGATGCACCGCCCCGACCTCCCCACGTCTTCTGGGGATCCCAGTTGGCTGCTTCCTCACATGTGCCCATCACGCACCCCCTCCAGGAACCCTCAGACTCTGCCCCAGCTCTTCTACTGCCCGCCAGGACCCTTTCCTGAGGGCAAGGCTGGGTGTAGGGCCTGGACCCTGCGATCTGTGCCAGCTGGGCAAGTTGTGCCAAGTCGCTGCAGGACAGCATGTGCACCCTGAGATTCCGGATACTGGGGTGCGACCTAGTGACACTTCTGGCTAACAAGAGATGAGCTGCGCATGAATTCTGACTGCAGTTGTGACCAAGCCTGGCCACCCAGCTGCAGGGAGGAGGCCCACTCCTCTCTCCAGCCACCTGGGAGAGGCACAACTTCCATTCACTGTCCCTACCCAATGCTGCCCCCATATGGCCACGCCCAGCACTGCAGGTCACACTGAGGCCTACGCTGAAGTCCTCATCTAGGGCAGCCCTGGGCCTGCCTTCCTGAACTTTCCCCATTGGTATCTCTAATGCAAGTTTGACCCTAGCCCACCCTGTGCAGCCCTGCTTGGCTGTCATCCAGCCACCTCTCCCCACAATTGAGGACTTTGGGCCCTGTTTGTCTCCCAGAGGCTCCTGGTCTGTGCCCCATGGCATTCCCATCATACCTGGTCCCAGAGGAAGGGCGGGAAGGAGCTCGAGCCAGGTATTCGAGTGGGTGGCAGAGGCACAAGGTCTGCTACTGTGCCTCACTTCTGCACATTAGTGAGCCATGTGCTCACTAAAGAACACGGGCCCTGCTCACTCAGGGACTTAGGTGTGGCCTGGTGGTGGTGACACCCAGCCAAGGTGCTGTCTTTTGTAGAGCAGTATCGGGGCAGGGCTGAAGACCCAGCCAGGTGTGCCTGCTTGCTGCAGCGTAGGCAGTTCAGGCAACACCAGGGCAGGGGAGAGGGCAGCACCTGAGCAGAGGGCAGGGCTGGCTAGGGCATCTGTCCCTTCGTGTCTCCAGCACCTTCTGCCCAGCCCTTTGCAGAGGATGTCTAACCCTAACCCCAGCCCCAACACTGACCCTAACCCTACGTCCTTGCCCCACCACCGGTCAGTGTTATTATTTGATTTTTTTCCCATTCACTCCTGGGGACTGAACCCAGTATTTTCAAATTGCCTAGGCTGGGCTTGCGCTCATGATCCTGTTGGTCTCTCCTTCCTGCCTCGGCCTCCCCCACAGTGCTGGGATTACAGATGCAGACACGCAGCTGGGGCTGGGGGTGTCACTGTTCTTAGTCCCATTTTACACATGGAGAGAGGTTGAGGAGGCACCTTTCAGGGGCTCAGGGAGATGAAGCAGGCAGGATTCAGGGCGGGCCATTCTCTACAGAGAGGTGCAGAATGAGAGCCAGGACACCAGGAAAGGACACGGGAAGCTTGTTTTCTCCTCATACAGACAGAGGGGGTGTTATCAAGCAACATCCAGAAGAGGTAGAAATATAAGCCTGGAGTGTAGAGTCTGGCTCGTTCCCTTCCTGCAGTCCTTGCTTTTCTGGGGGCGCTAAGGCCTCTCTTTGCCCTGTGGCTGGGCCCACTAGGGTCTCAGGTTGGACGGAAGGTGCAGGAGCCAAGGCACCTTGGCAATGGGGGCCCCACAGGATGGAGGGGAACAGTCTGTCTGTGCCCTCAGGCCACAGGGAGTGAGGTATGGAATCCGAGTTTCTGATGCATTAGGGCTCAGGACACAGCTATTAGAATTCCAGAGTGTGAAGTCTCAGGTCTAAGGAATTATATAGCCTTAAGTAATATGGGGAACAGAGCAAGGTACAGGTACCAAGCCTCAGGGCTGAGATGAGATCAGACACTGGGTCTTGGGCCCACAAGAATTATAACCCCAGGTACTGGGTGCCCAGCCCTTAGATCCGGGAACCACAGCTTAGCACGCCTGTGACTGGTAATCTACAGCCTTCTCCTGGCAGGCAGGGTCTTGTCTTGGCTCCGACACGAACCTGTGCTGCTGCCTGAGTGTGCTCTGGTCTCAGGGATGGGAACGCCACAGGTTCCTGAAATAGTGATGGCGTTTGTAGCATGCATATTAACCACCGGCTGACCCAGGGTCCCAAGAGGGCTGAAGAGGGGTACCGACTGGGGGACCCAGGGGACGCGGGGTGGGGAGCCCTCCACCTGGATGGGGGTCTCACATGTTCTTCCTGCGGCGCAGCAGCAGGTAGATGATGGCCACCAGCGCCACGACTGCCAGGCCTCCGAAGATGATGCTCAGCAGCACTGTGTAGCTCCGTCCTGACCAGAGGGCAAAGGTGCTGAGGGTGTGTCGGGCATGCTGGCACGCAGCGGCAGGAAGGGGGTGGGGAGGACATCCTCACCTAACTGACACTCCGGGGTGGGTGCGGACCAAGTGCCATCAGCCTGGCAGGTGCTAGTGTCCGCCCCGGCCAAGCTGTAGCCGCTCTCACAGTGGAAGCGGACGGTGGAGCCCACCAGGTACTTGAAATCTTCCTTGTGCCCGTTGGAAGGCGCAGCCAGCCAGCCACAGGACACCACTGAGATGGGGGCGGAGCACAGACGACAGGCCTGAGATGCTGGTCACTGCACGCTACTGGCCAGCCTGAAGGACCCTGTCCCAGTGCCAGGTGTCCCTCCCCTCCTCCACCCTCACCAGGCTGCAGGCTCTGAAGGCGCTCCTGGTGCATCTGGTGGGCCGCCCGTGTCACATTGCCCACGATCAGGTTCCCAGTGACCGCCACATCAAACTTGCAGAAATGGTCGTCCCCACACAGCTTAGCTACCTCTTCTGCCTGGTCCGGGCTGAGGACAATTTCGTCGGAGAAGAGGGGCTTGAAGGTGCTGTCGTGCTTGGGTCGGTACAGGAAGTTGTAGACCAACGACCAGGAGTCATAGGTGAACAGGGAGGAGCTGTTGTGCACAGCCCCTGGGAAGATGGACAACAGACTTGGGGGGCACAGATCTGAATGCTGGACAAGGGCCTGGGGTCTCCCCTTGATCCTCAGGCCTCCTCCTGGTGATGTTCCCCCTCCCCACTACCCACTCTGTCCAGCATATTCCATGGGTCACTCACATTCAGCCCCAAATTGGAACAGCTCCTGGGCACTGGCATTCGAGGGCAGGACCATCCCACTTCGCAGGGTGAAATCATCAGCAGGGTTGTTATTGAGTGTCCCAAGGAGACCGCGGGTGTGATTCTGGAACTTCTCAGGCAGCAGGACAGCCACACTCAGGAAGGGGCCCTGTATGCTGACCTCCAGGCCAGCCCCCGATGACAACATGATTGATACTTTGTCCTCACCAGCTACTGACAGGAACAAGCCTGGGCACAGGTGGAGATGGGTCAGGAGCATCTCCTTGGTGGCCTCCAACCTCTGATGCAGCTCTAGGAGCTGGTGGGGAGAAGGAGGCGCACCCCCAGGGTTAACTCATTAACTATGACCCCCCCCCACGTTCCACCCCACCTGTGCTTTCACTAGGCCTCAGATGGATCCAAGATGCCCAGACTCTGCCAAGAACACCCATGCCAAGACCTCTGCCCTTCCTCAAGGCTCTTTCACATACAGTGCCCCCGACATCTCTTGGGGACCATTTCATTCATTCCGTTCCCTGAGGTAGCATAACCATGACAAGGGGTTCAGATCCTGGAGCCACCACCCCCAGCTGTCACTTCCAAGCTGCAATCTTAGTCCTGCAGGGCTGGCTTCCCTGCAGTGGATTTGATGGATGGGACAAGGGACCACAGCCCAGGAGCAAAGCCGTACTGGCCAGATCCCATTAAGGTGCTCCCTGGGCTCTTCTGGGTTGTAGCAAGGACCCACCCCACAGTGCTGGTTCCTCGAAGCTCTGAGCAGGCCGTGGGGTGTGACAAAGGCATCTCTGGAGTTGAGAAGGTACTAGAATCAGACCTCAGGCGAGGGCCCGGATTCAGCTGCCCAGCCCTGCTGTGCCAGGGACCAGCCACTGGGCAGGCCCCCGACCCTGCCACTCACCGTTCAGGTCCATCCAGCTCTGCTCGGCAAAGCTGAGCACCTCGGAATTCAGCAGCACCTCCAGGACCCCAGGCCTATGAGCCAGCCGTGCTTCCACCACGTCCGAGCTGTCCTCCTGGACTACCACGGCCGTCAGCCCCGTGCCACGGGCCTGGGTGCCTGGTGGGGGTGGGTGACACAGAACAGGGTCGCCTCGCCTCCTGCCTCCTACCCTAGATGACCCAGAGCCACCCCGCACCCACAGGACCTCAGCCTCACCACTGGTCAGTGTCGTGGGCTCGGCTCTCGCCTGAACCCGCAGGTCCTTCCCGTCCGCCTCCCCCTCCAGCAGCACGTACTCGCCACGCCCATTGAACGTGAATTTGGTGCCGTCGAAGGTAACGAAGTGGGGGTCCCCGAAGACAGAGGCTGTGGTGAGAGTGGAGGGTCAGGTGGTTCCCCCACCCTGGGCCCCGTCTGACCCTCCCTGGGGCCGGTGCCAGGCTGGTACCCACCCAGGCGCGGGGGACGGTAGGTGCGGCAGTCACTGGAAGGCCGCCGCTGCATGTATCGGGAGCACTCGGGTGCCCAGAGGCAGCAGTAGTAGAAGCTCATGACATCGTAAAGCCAGTGGGACAAGGTGGGCACACGGGGTGGTGTGCGGTAAGGAGGCGCGCCCCAGTCGTGCCCACGGTCGGGTGTGCTGCCGCCAATGGAGTCGGCGGTCAGGAGCTGTGAGCCGTCTTTCCTGTAGCAGCACTGCTGGCCCGAGGCGAACCTGGGGCTGGGGGTGAGGGCAAGTCAGAGCCACCGTGGGAGCCCGTCCTGGCCTCCGCCCTCTTCCCTGTCCCAGCCTAGGGGCTCACCTGGCCTGCACAGAGCGAACGCAGTGCACGGCCCCCGGGTGATAGGTGCAAGTGCTGTTCTGCTCAATGTCACAGCCGTAGTCCGTCTGCAGAGCAGGCGGTGGGTGCTGTCACTTGGGCGCTACATCCCCTCATTCCCTGGAACCAACACTGTGCCGGACCTTACCCCCAACCTTCACCTGCAGAAGGTCTTTGTCTGCCCCTCCCCATTCCTGGGCCTTAATGGTTATAGGAGCTTACGAAGAAGCGGCCGGTGTCAGCCCGGGCCTGGACCAGGTTGCAAGGGCAGTCCGGCAGCTCCTTTAGGAAATCGGGCAGATTGTCTTCCAGCTCCTCCCAGTCCAGGCACTGTGCACGGGCCCAGCTCACAGAGTCTTTCCGGAAGTCATCCCCCAGGTGCCAAGCCAGTGCGTGCTCATTGGTCCAGATTGCCAGCACATCCCTGAAGCAGTGGTGATGAAGTGGCTAAGGGCTGGGCCGTCCCACACAGTTGGCTCCCCGTGGCCTGGGGCTTCACTAGCAAGCACGGAGGTCTCCAGGCAGTCAGCCCCCAGCCCATCCTCTGCACGGAGGCTCTTACTTCTCGCCTTGGTAGTGTTTGCTGGCAGTGATCCGCAGCGCACCCACCCTCCACTTCTGGTAGGAGGCAAGTGCAGGTTCAGGAATGAAAGTAAAGAAGCCAGAGTTGGGGGCGTTTGTGGCCAGAGAGTACAGATATGACCACTTTGCTATCCAGTTTCCTGAGTACGGTGTCCCTGAGGAAGAGAAGGCCTTGGTAAATCCTCTGAGGACCCCTGAAGCAGGAGACGGGGCTGGCCCCAGTCTCTAGCAAAGAGCAGCCCAACAGATGGACAGAAGGTCAATCAACAGACCTAGATGAAGGATGATTGCACAAGTCTCCCACGCCAGGCCAAGCCACCTAAACCCCACCTCCTCTCCACACCCCAGACCCCCAGCCCTCCTACCCAAGGGCCAAGGCACCCAAACCTCCTGTTGGACCTGGGGCCCCAAACATCCAGGCCCCTGTGGGCCCCTCCCTTGCTCGGTCTGACGGACCTGCTGCTCTTCTTTAACTGCACATTGCTTGCTCCAGAGCCCCAGTTCCTGCCTGGGATTGTCCTCATTCATTCTCTATCCGGGAGCTCTCATCCCTGCTCTGCCCTCCTCATACACTCGGGGCTCCAAACCTCCTACCAGCCCAGGGCTGGCCTCACCTGTCTCCTCGTAGCCCCACAGCTCGATGTTGACGGTCTGTGTGGACAGCACCGAGGTGTCCCAGGTGACACTGAGGTTCCCTGTGGTGGTGCCTGGGGTGCCGTAGTATTGCCAGCGGGTCTCGTTCACCAGTTGGCCCTTCTCGGACTGTGACACTTTGTTAGGATGTACTAGGCAGGGACAGATGTGTGGTGAGTGAAGGCTCAGGCACCAGGTGATGAGGGCCCTGGGGTGGGGGTGTGGGTGGGGCCTCCCAAGGACAAAGCATTATCACCTCAGCTGGATTTTGGGTTCTACCAAAGCCCAGGGAGAAAAGAACACCCAGGCTGGGAGAAGCAGGGCCCCATCTGGGAGAGCTGAGCAGCAAGCAGAGGCCTACCAGGGCCCGCAGGCTGTACTCCCTCTGGGTTGGGACTTCAGCAAAGGGGTTGGGTAATGAGGTGAGGAGGCTCCCACCCAAGGGACTGGTTCTGCCAGAGGAGCAGGTGAGTGGGCCAGGTCTCTCTGTGCATAGATTACCACTGGGGAAAGTGTCGTGGGCTCAAACTTTGGGTGGGAACCAGGGCCCACAGAAGGTGGAGTCTGGGGCCCACAGGCTGAACTGGCTTGGCTACTTGGGGGCTCACCAGCCAGCCAGGTGCCTGCACGCAGGAAGGAGCGGCCATTGTCCATTGAGATGGTGAAAGGGATGCGGCCAGTCTCATAGAGCAAGGGTGACACGCAGTGCACTTGTCCCAAGGAGTCCACATGGCCAAGGATCTGGATGCTCTCCTTAAATCTGAGGGTGCAGAGGTGGCTGGAGTGGCTGAGCTGATGTGAGCCGATCCTTTCAAAGCCTTAGTCCCCCCAACTTTTCTGCAGGGGACCCACCTAGCTAGCTGTCACTGTGCCCTCCTGCAAGGCCTTGGTGACGGGGTTAGGGTTACCCATCTGCCAGAAGTCCAGGCCTCTTTCATGCCTGGGGCCGGGAGTGCAGGGAGTTAGGGACCCAGGTGGCCCAGCCCCTCAGGATTCCCACCTGCAGATCACACCTTCTGTGTGTGTGGACCACTTAAAATGGCGCACCACAAAGTCCTTGCCGCCCATCATGGAGCCTGAGAAGGGTGAGATCTCCAGGCAGAAGTCACGGAAGTCTGGACAGCAGGTGCCAAGGCCTGAGCAGGTTGGGTGGCAGGAGCAGGTCCCATTCTGGTTCCCACAGCGCAGAGAGCAGCTGTCCTGAGCATCTGGGGAAGACAGCCCTGAGCACTTGACCCAGAAGTATGCTGGGTGGCCTCCCCATGTGCAGGGCCAATCTCTATTCCCCCTGAGTCCTTTAGAGGGACACTTTCCCAGGAGAACACTGATTGGATTTGTTTTGGCATCACAAGACACAGTGGAAAAAGGCTGTGGTCAGTCTTGGCAAAGATAATCCATCTAGTGCGTGGCTAGAATGTAGTAAGATAAGGGAAAATGTCTGAGTCATTCAACCAGCCAAGCTAGGACTTGCCCCCAGAGCTTGATGAACCGTTAGCCACCAAATCCTGTAGCTCAGATATTGGCTAAGTGTCCCAGTCAACATCTTGGAAAGAAAGGCTCCATGTAGGGCATGGTGGTGCATGCCTGCAATCCCAGCAGTTGGGAGGGTGAGACAGGAGAATCGCTGTGAGTTTGAAACCAGCCTGGGCTACAAGCGAATTCAAGGCCAGCCTGAACTGCAGTGAAACTTGTCTCAAAAAGACCAAAAAAAAAAAAAAACAAGACAAAAAATGAATGATATCCTGCTGGGTTTGACCCATCTCATTTTCCAGGGAGCAACAATTGAATCCCATAGAGCTTCCCTTTTGGGGAAAAGGCAAAGGATACTCCTTTTTTTTGTTTTGTTTAGCTACTTTCCTGCTGAGCTATTTTCCAAGCCCCTTTGCCCCCTGTCTTTTCCTCCCTCCCTTCCTTCCTGACAGGGTCTAAGTTGCCCAGGCTGAGCTTGACTTTGTGGACCTGCTGCCCCAGCTTCCCAAAGTGGTGGAATTTTCGACGTGCACCACCACGCTGGGTTTGATGTTTCATTCTTTTTTTGGAGGAGGGGCATGTGGTGGGGGTAGACAGTGGTATTTGCAGCAGGGATCCCAGCAAGGAGGAGAGGGTAATCGGGGATCTGCCACAGTGGCTGTGGAAATAAGTCCAACCTTTCTTTCAAGGGCCATGGGGACCTGTGACACAGCCCTATTTTCAGGATGTCTGTCCCTGTGGAGCTGGAGAGAGGAGATAGCAGTGGAGGCTGAGTGCTCAGACACATCACAGCCCGCCTGGCCCAGGCCTGGGTCTGAGACACTCCTGTGGGCCGACTTCCCTAAGTGCAGTGCCTGGCACTTAAGACAGGCAATAAATATTTACTGGCCAAGGATGTGATGGCTCAAGGGCTGCAGGGAAGAGGCTTAGAAATGCCAGGTAAGTAAAATCCAAGGGGCAGGAGGATGATGGTGACATTTCCCTGCAAAATGGAAGATGGGGAACTGGGTTGGTGATGCCCAGCTCAGTCTGGGGCTGGGGTCTCAGTTCTGGAGTTCAGGTCTTCTTCTAGACTTTCTAGAGTTCAGTCCCACCCTGAGGAGGACCCATTATCCTGCCTAGGGAAGGGCTGGGGAATAGGAAGAGGGCTGCCTATATGCAGTCACATCCTCTGTTGGTGCTTGGGTGTAGCCCAAAGGCTCTCCTGGTCCAGCTTGCCTCCCTCCCAGGCAGTGAAGGCCTCCCAGCTCCCATTGGGTGTAGGGAGGGCTCAGCCCAGACTCCTGTCCCTGCTGCAGAGCCTTTGACCCTGTGGCCTCAGACTTTCTTCCCACTACCCCCTGTACAGCCACAGATGGCCTAACAGATGGACAGAGGCTGAGCCCAAAGGGGTGTCTGCTCTGGGCCTGGCTGATCAGGCAGATGGACATAAGGGCAGGATGGGAGCATACCTGCTGTGGGCCTGGGACCTGGGCCGGGGACTGTCGCAAGCAGCAGCAGGACCCAGGGCAGGAGGGCCAGCTTCATGGTGAGGTCCGTGTCTGCAGTCGGCGGTGCAGTGGCTTGCTCGGAGGCAGCGGACTGACGGACTGACGCACACTCCTAAGTGCTGGGCTGGCCCCGCCTGCCTGCCTGGAGCTCTACGGCACCGCCCCTCTCCGCCCCTCCCGCTCCGAACCCTCTCAAAGTCCACAGGTGCCTGTGTGGGCCAGCAGCGTCTGACCTGCCCCGTTAGCACATTCTTTGCCCAACAGCAGGGGATATGGGGGAGGGGGCAGAACCTCTGCCCCGGGACCCTGTGCAAGGGTAAAGGGGGCTGGAACCTCCAGCTGAAGGACCTTTGGCACGTGATGAGCCGGATGTCCACAGGCTGTAGCAGGGACCTGGGTCCCAGCTCAGTCTGGACCTGCAGGGTGGGGCTCTTGCAGGGGACGGGATGCTCCTAGTGGGTGAGAAGGGCGTCTACGAAACTGGCAGGACTCCAGCCCCTGTGCCCTGGGGGCAGATCTTCATCCCCAGTCCTCGTTTCCCTCTGGGAGGGGGTGTTATCAATCAATTCCCCCCCCCCCCCCCCCCCCCCCCCGGCTCAGCGAAAGGAGGCCAGGACCTGCCCAGGGCGTGTGTAGTGTGTGGGTGATCTCAAAGGACAGAACTGTCAAGTCACACCCCGGCAGAGCCCTGTGTGTCCTTGGCCCCATGTGGCTCAGCCGGGATCCCTACTGGGAGGAAGATGAGTGCAGGGAGGATCCTAGGCCCGGAGATACGCCGCCATTCACAGGCTCCGTGGGGAACTCAAGCCACAACGCCCAGTGCCTCTTCAGCCTTCCCGCCCCAGTCTTTATGTACAATCTGCATAATCTCTTGAGCTCCCCTCCTTAACCCTCGTGCAGAACTGGAAATTGAAGCCCTTAAGGGAAAACACGGGCCAAGTCAGCCCCCTGGTGGCTTCTGGGAACCTCTGTGGTCAAGTAAGTTGGACATCAGGGCAGGCAGGTGTCCCTTCCCAGTTGCAGCTGCTCAGGTGTCCTAGGAGGACACATCCAGTAACTCTGCAGGTGGCCAGCCCATTGTTCTCTGGGACCTGCTTGCCTAGTTGCTGTGGCCACTGTGGGGCTCCTGTGAGTACAGCCCCACAGGGGAGCTCCTAATGGGCAGCCAAAGGAAACCTGTGGTGTGGGGATTGGAATGGGCTCCCACGCAGAGCTGCTCCTGGGGGAGCCCCACCTCCACCTTCCAAAGAAACATCTGGTGGAATCTGCAGGACCTCGCCTGCCAGAGGGGAGAAAGTCCCTTAAACATTCGGTGCTCAGGCACCTCTGTGGGAGGGGATCCTGGTCCTCCGGCAGGAAGCAGCCCCCAAGGTGATCCTGAGGGTCTCCCCAGGTCCGGGACTGAGCACCTCTTCCCACACAAACAGCGAGTATAGGCACTGGCTGAACACCTGTTAATTTCTTGGTCCTCCAGATGTCAGTCTAGCCAGGATCCACCCCAGGCTACTATATCTCTATGCCCTGGGATGGGGACCCAGGGTGGTAACCAGCCACTAATGCCTTTTTTCCTGGATGGTAAGGAAGTGTCAAGCACATGAGGGGCACAAGGCTAAGGGCCAGCATCACAAACTTAGTGCTGTATTCTTAACTTTAAATTTTTTTTTTTTTTTGGTGCTGGGGATTGAACTCACAACCTTGCGTTTGCCAAGCAGGCACTTATGCTGCTGAGCTAAACCCCCTGCCTTAAAAAATATTTTAAAATGGGCTAGGGATTTAGCTCAGCAGCATAAGCACCTGTCTGGCAAGCATGAGGTCATGAGTTCAATCCCTGGTTAAAAAAAAAAAAAAAATTTGTTTTTGTTAAATTTTTGAGACAGGGTCTTCTTATGTACTCCAGGCTAGTCTTGAAGTCACTACGTAGCCTAGGCTGGCCTTAAGTTTGTGGTGATTCTCCTGCCTCAGCCTGAGTGTAGGAATTATAGGCATGTATCACCATGCCTGGCCAAAAAAAAAAAAAAGTCTTTTTTTTTGATACAGGATCTCGTGCTAGGCCAGGATGTCCTTGAACTCATGATCCTCCTGACACAGGGGAATGAAACTCCTAACCTACCAGGTCTGTTACATGCTCTCTAAAATCAAAGAAAGAATTTTAGGAACAACGGAAGAGCAGAATATATTTATTGAGAGAAGGCAAGCTTTTGTCTGAGGAACAGAAGGGGTCCCGCGTGGGTTGCCAAAGACTGTCTTTTCTAGGAACTGGGTGAAATCATGAGGTTTGACAGGTCTAAGCTGGGGAAAAATGGGAACTCACAAGGTAAGCATGAGATGGGACAGAATTAATTGGTTAGGTAAAGTTGATCAATTCAGGAACAAATGGGGGATCGAGTCACGCAGTAAGCAGTGACCCTTCCTGTAGGGGGTGGGATGCCGACTCCTGACTTCCTCAGGGTGATGGAGAACTATTTGGACAGTGGATCCTTAGGGTGTGGTTGTATTTGCTTTGCCTTTTGTCTTGAGATCTGGTCCACAGCAGGAGGTGAGGAGGTATCTGAACTTTAAAATTTTATTATTTTTTATCAGTACTGGGGATTGAACTCACGACTGCGTGCTTTCAAGGCAGGCGCTTATGCCGCTAAGCTAAATCCCCAGCCAGGTATCTGAACTTCTGTACTGGCCCTTTTAGGGCTTAGCCCTGTCTGACTGTATTTCTAACTCAGCTGCCTGTAACACGCCTACCTCAGCTTCCTGAATGCTCTAATGTTATGGTTACAGGCATGTGCCAAGATGCCCGTCATTACAATGCTCAGTGGGGTAGTGTCTATAATCCCAGCATTCTGGGAAGCTGAGACACACCACAAGTTGGAGCCAGCTTGGTCAGGTAAGTGACTTGTGAGACCCCATCTTAAAAAAAGCAGGGGTGGGAGACAGAGGCTATGGCTCAGTGTGAAGGCCCTGGGTTCCATTCCTAGCATTAGTAAAAGTAAAAACAAAGCCAACAAAAAAATTCTTACTAACTTCTGAACAAGAGGCCCCAGGAGTGCCACACTTCTGGGACAGGCACCGTTGTGGGGGAGTGTGATGGGAAATGTGGGAACTAAGTCCCCCACCTTCCATCCCCACCCACTGGGGAGAGAACCTAGGATTCACCCCCCTCAAGTTTCACTACTGAGCTATGTCCCAGCCCTATTTTTAAAAACCCCATTTTTTGCTGTGTAGGAAGCCTAGGTTGTTTTTTTCCCTCCAGTCAAGCCAGTTTTATTTCTTCAAGCCTGAGGCTGTGGCCCTTGCATTGCTTTGATTTGGTGCTAAGGACCAAACCCAAGCCTCAGCCTTGTGAAGCAAGGGCTGCACCACTGAGCTAAATCCCGGCACCTGTGTATTCTGAGACATGGTCTCACTGAGAATTTAGCATTCAATTTATGATCCTTCTGCCTCAGCAGCCAGAATGGCTGCAACTGTAGGCCTGTGTCACCACCCGTCCCTCCTTCCTGTCCCCACAGTGTCCACTGCCAACCCCTCAGCACAGCTTAGCCTTACCTCCCCTAAAGCGCCCCACCTACCTGCACTCTGTGAGCTCTGGGGATGCCCCTGATGCCCTTACAGCCCAGCTCCAGCTTTACCACAGGCCTGCTCCCCACATATCCCATGCTCCCTGCACCCCAGACTGCTGATCCCTTGGGTGCCCAAGGGCTGGGAGGTCCGGAAACTGGCAGGCCCCAGCCCCTCCCAGCCTGGAGTGTGCAGAGGCAAAGACTACTGTTCCATCTTTATTAGAAAAGAAACCAAAAAAGAGTGTGGGAAAGCCTGGCCCTAGATGCTGCCACCACTGGGACCCAGGCGGAGCCCAGCTCATCCTGGCGTCCAGTTGTGGATGTGACTGGCTGGGCTGGGTGTGGGCACCTTTACAAAGTCAACATTTCATAGAAAAGGATGCCAGCCTTGCTGTGAAGATCAAAATCGAGCCATCCTCATGCCGTGACATGGGCTGCCACCTCTGCCTCCATCTCCGCCTCCTCTGAGGTCCACCTGGTGGGTGTGGACGGCCTATATGGGGAGGGAGGATTCCAAGCGGCTGAACAGGGAAATGTGCCCCACATGGGCCTCTGGCTCGCCCAGAGCCCGGGCTGCAGGGGCATTCCCGGCCTGGCTGGTCCCCCGGGATGTGGCTGCGGGGCTCTGCCAGCCTTCCTTAGATGTCCATGTAGTCATCATCCTCATCCGTCTCGCTCTCTAGTGAGGACTCCTGGCTGGATGTCTCGAGGACCTCCAGGGCCGGCTGGCACAGGCTCTCCTTTCTCACATTGGCAGCTGACTGGGCAGACAGGATGGCCGACTGCAGACAGGGCAGGGCACAGGTCAGGGGTAGGCGGCCCTACCCCGGGCTTCCTGACTTTAACTTGAACTGGCTTCCATTACCCCAGTAACCCAAACCCCTGCCCCAGGTTCCCAGGTAACCCAGGGCCCCACCCCAGGCTCCCTGTCATTGGTTCCTCTTGCAGGGCACCCACGTTCACCTTCAACTTCTGCTTGGTCTCCTCTGAGATGCTGCCTTTGGGGGACAGCAGGGTCGGGGTGGGCGGTGTCACGGTGATCTCAGGGGGGAACTTGGTGGTGGCCGAGGGGATTACCAGTTTTGGCATGTTGGGCAGGAGGCGGGACTTGGCCCGGCTGGGCTCAACTTTACCAGGATGGCCCTCTGGTGGCTGGGTGCTCCCAGTGCTGGAGACCTTGGAGCTGGTAGCTGTGGGGAGAGACCTCAGGGGCTGAGCTTCACTTGCAGATTCCAGGGACTGCCTGTCTCTCCCCTGCTCATAACTCAGTTTCCCCTCAGTTAGACAGAGGCACCGAGAGCACCTCCTCCTTACTAACAGCACGTACAGAATGGTATGCAGCCACACTGGCCCTGTAGGCTTCATCCTGAGCAACTGCGAAGCTCAGGCCCAAGTGTCCCAATACTAGCTCTGGACTGTGGGCACTGGGGCTGGGACCCTGGGAGTTCAGGACCTGAGACACAAGGAAGCTTCCCTGGGCTTTCCCAGGGCTTCCCAGGCATTGTGCTTACACGAATTATGTTTCCCTAAATCATGAATTATGTTCCTGTAAATCATTCCAGGACACACATCCTGTGTACCACAGAGTGGA